TTAATTCACCACTTTTGAACTATAGATATTTTATTTTTACTTGTAAATCTAGAAATACTGTAAGTAAAACATCATTGCCATCATTTCTTGTTAGACTAATTTATTACTTTGATGTAAAAATAATACTAGCTTGGCCAAGTGTCATTGGATGCAGGCTTCACAATTCTTAAGGCTCGTTTACAATTGTTTTTTTTTTGCAGCGCGATTGTCTCGGCGATCATCGCTCAACTATCACCTGTGTTTCGAATTAGCTGCATCTTCACGTTTTTTTTTTCTTTCGCCTCACAATCGCAAGACTGTTTCCACGTACAATTCGACTTCGCGATAGCAAAGTGGTTATTGTCGCGGGACAATCACGCTGAAAAAATAATTATACTAATTTGGGGACGCCAAAGTGTGTTGTTTTTACAAAATTTCAATTTGTTCTTACTACGTGTGCTCTTAAGTAATGCTCCCAAAACTGTAGAGATTTGTAGATATATTGCACATAAAAATAAGAAATTAACACAAGGTAATTTTTGTATAATGAATTTTATGCACACTTTGACGTCAACAAATTAGCAGAATGCTTTTTCAAATCTAATCTCCTCGGAATTGAGAAGCATGCATCCAATGATACATGAACAAGCTATTATTATCTTTATTTTTATGCTTATTCAATTTCTTTCTGTAGAAGGATACATTGAGATCCAACATGGTCTTGTATTCCTGTGTCATAATGACATTGAGTAAGACCAGCTTCTGCTATCCCTACTGATTTGTAAAGAACACACCGACTGATAAAAATATATTCTTCGTTTACAAGTTACGTCACATCGGCCATCTTGGAGGAACTTAAACAAAGGATATCTCATTAATATCCATTGTTCATTCCTCCAACATGGCCGCCGGTCTTTTATCTTTTGAATCAAATGGGAATGGGTGAAAACGATCAATACTATGAATTAGTGCTTCATTTTTTCAGCTCCAAACGAGCTACGGCTCGCGCATGAACCTCGTCAGGACCATCCGCTAGTCGTAAAACGCGGGCCCAAGAAAAGAACTGCGCCAATGGTTGATCTGAAGACAGTCCAGCGGCGCCAAATGCCTACAAAAMATAAGCAATATTAACAGCTCAAGTCTTAGGCAATACAGCAACCGACGGGTCTATCACTGACTCGGCGTTCGTTTTCTCTTRTCCAGACAATTAGCAAGTCTCCTATAATAACTTTATAACGAAACAATTTGAATCATTCAGGAGTTGGTTTAATTTCCATGTGATATAGTTCATAAATAGAATATCTATTCCCTTTCAACAGTAAGACAAAAGCTTAGTCGATCTAAATATCTGATTGCAGTAGTTGCGAAAAATAAGCTCACCTGCATTGCTCTATCGATAACATTTTGTGCCATCTGAGGACCAGCCACCTTGATCATCGCTATCTCAGGAGCTGCTGCCTGTCAATCACAGAAATAAACGTCTTACTAACTAACCATGATTCCTTGCGCTGCCTTGTATAGTGCGTGTACCTTGTTTCCCACAGTATCCATAAGATGAGCTGCCTTTAGAGTCAGCAGTCTTGACTGTTCAATTTCAATTCTCGATGCTGCAATATCAGCTAGAATGGTACCTTGTGCAGCCAGTGGCTTCCCAAAAGCGACACGGTTTTTAACCTGGATCGAGATATGAGGAGATTGTACAGGATTAGCTTATAAAATGACTGACGCTTGTCTGTCACGKTTCTYAGTGCAATGGTGTTATTTATTAAATGTCTTTCTAGTTGAAGTTACCCTATCAACCATCAATTCCAAGGCACGTTCTGCTTGCCCAATGAGTCGCATACAATGGTGGATGCGACCTGGCCCTAGTCGACSCTGAAAACAAAATAACACTCTCGTTACTAACACATCAGGTTTCAAAATGTGAGAGTCCAGCCACTCACAATGGAATACCCGGGCAGTCGACAGTAATTCCCTTAATTGTCACATTATTGTTATTTTGAAGTTATTAATCAAGCGTCTGCCTAAGTTCAATACTGTCGCTATACTAAAATCGTTTTTTTTTCTAGGTCTGGGTACGACAAATCATTAGATCCAAAAACACATTACGTGATGCAATCTGCCATGAATACAAAATCCTGTATATTGAATTGAATTTTGTATTTTCTCAGTCAACGTAGACAGCGTCGTCGATATTGTTATTCATTAGTACCTGAGCAATCTCAAAGCCTCGTCCAGGTCCAAGTAAAATATTCTCTTTAGGAACTCTCACATCCTCAAACAGTATTTCAGCATGACCAGCTATTAACACAATAGAGATAACAACTATAATAGAACAAGAACGAGAAATGTGAAAAAAATAACGTCATACCTGGAGCGTCTTCGTAGCCAAATACTGACAGAGGACGAATGACTGACACTCCAGGTGTATCCATGGGAACAAGAATCATGGCCTTAATAATAGAATATCAAACTCATTGTTAAAGCTGTAAAACTAAAATATGAGAAAAGGAATAAAGAAAAAAATGTGAAAGAAAGAGAAAGTACGTGAAATTGTGTATGTCGGACACTATGGCATTCACAGAGAGTTGATTAAAGGACCTGTTGTTTGTGTTTTGGTGCATCAGGATCAGTCTTTCCCATGAAGATGGCGACTTTGCATTTTGGATGAAGAGCACCTATTACAAAAATAAAATGAAATACACCGCATTTGAAYGTTACATGRTCAAATCTGAATTATATCTTTTTAACCATATTTAATTTTATGCCTTATGTTATATTCACGACTATGTTATCGTTACTTTACGCCCGCCCCTCTTAGAAATCAGCGTACGTAAATYATTGAAGTGGCCAGTGTTCAAGCCAGTGTTGTAGTAAAAGACATAATATGTGACACACCAAGACGTACAGGTAACCCACATACCAGATATCCACCATTTCCTGCCATTGATAACATACTGGTCACCATCTAATCGTATTGATGATTGAATGTTTGTAGCATCGGAAGACGCCACCTAAGATAATCAGGAATGACGTATAAATATTTATCGCATGGAYAAGTAATATACAGACTAACCTGTGGCTCCGTCATAGCAAAGCACGATCGTATTTGACCATCAAGTAGAGGCGTTAACCATTGGTCCTTTGAAAAGTAACACAGGCAGCAGTTTAATCTGGGCATAATGAATCGTAATTCGCCCGTGTATCTTGTTTTCCTTCAATAAAACCCCTTTATAGYATTTATGAATCACCAAAAGTCATCGTAAATGAACTAACCTTCTGGTCCTGTGTMCCATATCGAATCARTACTTCCATGTTTCCGGTGTCTGGGGCCGAACAGTTAAAAACCTTGAAATTATAATAATTAGAGCACAATAGTWCATAATCACAAAATAATGCGCTATACATAACATGGTACAGCAAGTAATTAAATTACGTTGTTTAGAATTATAAAATCCTTGATCATTCCCTTCATACCTCGGAAGCATACAAGCACTTGCCCATCTCTTCACACAGGAACGAATACTCCATGTTAGTCAGGCCAGGACCATATTGACCTTCTTCATCTGCTTCTTTAGGAATGAAGAAGTTCCACAGTCCAGCTTGTTTGGCGTTATCCTATAGAAAAACAGGTGTAATTATGTCCCCTATCATGCAAGTCATATTTATTATCAGCCAAACCTTTAATTCTTCAATCTTTGCATGTGGCGTCCATCGGTCATTTGACATGTAGTATTTATCAAGTTCTTCCTCTATCGGACTAATGTTTACCCTTATGAAGTCTTTGACTTGTTTATGGAAAGCTTGCACTCGAGGAGAAAGATCACAGACAGATGTTGCAAGAAACGATGGTACTAACCAGTATAATAACACATGAATGCTTTAAAGTCAAAACAGCTGAAAAACATACAGAAAAAACATGCAGAATAAACAAACCTTGCTTTGTACTGCTGGTACTGTACATTCTCTTTCCTCCCAATGGCTTATCAAAACCACATGGCTTGTCGTCCCCTGATGCGAACGACCAACCAGTTAATACCATGAATTCTGCAAGCAGTCCTACAGCTTTAGCATTCTCACCGCTTGCTTGACCTGGAAGATTAACGATCACTTCAAAATATGACAGAGAAAACATAATTGACAGCTATCACGTGATCTTAGAATTTAGTCGCGACTGCATGGCCTTATAGCCAATCCACTCTCTGTTTGTGACTATGACTATGATTGTGCATCGATTAACGYAGRAGGATTAGACGTTCATTATGGTTATACATGGCCTTATAGCCAATCCACTCTCTGTTTGTGACTATGACTATGATTGTGCATCGATTAACGYAGRAGGATTAGACGTTCATTATGGTTATACATGGCCTTATAGCCAATCCACTCTCTGTTTGTGACTATGACTATGATTGTGCATCGATTAACGYAGGAGGATTAGACGTTCATTATGGTTATACATGGCCTTATAGCCAATCCACTCTCTGTTTGTGACTATGACTATGATTGCGTCCATAACCTTCTAATGCTCTTTTGTAAACGCCTTGGAGGATAGCAGCGACTCTAAAGAATGAGAATGCCATGTAAAAGTTCCAGTTTGTTAGGGAAGGTATTCCAGCTCTTTTGCAGTACATTTCCATATAGTGAACATCATTTGGGATCCCGAGGGGTTCTGGGTCAATATCGTTGAAACCTATGATATTGTATCAATATCAGTATTAATTTATTATCAATTATTATAGATAATTAGAATATCAATCTATAAATAGAATAATATACCTCTCACGACAGAAAGTCAATCAATACCTTTTAGAGTAGGGAATGTAGACGGAAGATGATTAGGRAGGCAGTTGTARGCCAAGTCAGATAAAGGATCTCCAAGKGTGGATAGCTCCCAGTCTAACACGGCCGTGACTTCAGGCTTGGTTTCATGGAATATAAGATTATCCAATCTAGAATGTCAMAGATRATTTAAAAGAYATTTKTTATTGATCTCAGCTTTTTGACTGTCAGGAATGTCAGTACCTGAAATCTCCGTGAACTACAGTAGTTTTATCMGCTTCAGGAACATTATCACTTAACCACTGTATCAACTGGTTCATTGCGGGAATGTCACGTGTCTTACTGGCATGGTACTGCTTACTCCATCGATCGATCTGACGACGAATGTAGTTTCCTAAAAACCAAACCAATCGCCCCAATTATAAGATATCATTTTTATTAWAAATCAATCAATCGACATTCACGTATTAGGAATGAGGAATCAGTAAAACTTTTCTCGGCAATGAAGTTCGAAGGGATTGGGGTGGAGGGGGGGTGGGGGGGTCGAGGGGGCTGATGTGAAATCATCAATAACATTWACGAAAACGGCGTGGTGGAAAAGCCAACCAATTCAAACCCCCCCTGGATACCTTCCCTACAGAATTAAATACTGTAAAACATTCAAGCTCTTGATACTAATTCATCATTGATGAAGATACATTCACGCCTGCATTTTATCTACTGTACCTTTCTTGCCGTAGTCACTAAGACCTGYTCTTTCAACATCAACATTGTGTATMTTGAAAAGAACTTCATTCATGGCATTGTAGATTTCCTGTTGAAAATTCAGTAATATCGATGATCACGTTGTTTGTTAAATCAACAGTGCTATTACTATTAGATAACGAACAGTGCTATTACTATTAGATAACGAACAGTACTATTACTATTAGA